CCACGTTCAGTGTTGTTCTTTCAGACAAGGCTTGGTGGATACAGGAAGATCTAATGTGGCAGGGTTCAGGCTGAGCAACTGCCAATCTAGCAATAAGTATTCTTGGTCCTGTTTTAATTGCCTAATCCTTGTGTTCTTTCCTACTTTGTCATGTTAGGCATAGAGTTGCCATGTTCTTAAGTGTAGCCTGTTCAGAGCAGAGTGGTGGCTCTGCTGTTATGGATAAATATGCAAGCTCTCTGAACCCAAGAAGTGTTTGTCTAAAGATACATGGACAGTCTGTGAAGGTAACTTGCGGGGGATTTTGCCAAAAATGGTATGTAAAGGAACAGCCTAACTACAGGGTTATATATGGCTGAGCTGTTTTCCCTGTTACCAATTCACAGACGAGCTGTTATTGCTAACACAGAAACAAACCAAAAAAGTCAAAAATTTTGTAGCAACGAAGACCACGTTATTGGCTAATAATTCACTGGAAAATGCTGCCATATCACATGGCTGCAAACTATTGCTGTGAGTCCACTAAAAGTTTATTCAACGGTAAGGAGACGATGAAAAAAAGGCAAAGAGCTGCACGATGTTTGAAGTTTAATGGCGTGGTAGGTTTCCTGTTCTGTCGTATTTGTAAAAGAGAAAAGAGTGGGATGGTTATTGTATATCTAGAATTAGCATAGCAAAGCTGGTTTCAAGTAAGAATGATGCTCTATGAGTCACAACAACGGAAAAAGCAGCAGTTCAAGACTGGTAGATGGATGAGTCATAGGGAAGCTGCTCATATCCAAAGTCCAGAAAAAATTAGTGGAAATGCTGGAAAAATCAGAGTTGTTGGCTGGTTGTCATAGATGTAATGCAAACAGCTGCCATAATCTGTATGTCCAATCTCAAGAGGTTATAGTCTAGAATAGAGAAAGATTAGCTTGTTTAGCTTAGAGTCAAACTACCGTCTGTGCTCTGGCCTGAGAAATGGACTTTGCAGTTTGACTCAAGGTTGTAAAGCCTGTTGGCTATGCTGGGAGTGCAAACCCACTGGTGTCATAGTGCACTTGGACACCTGCGTGTAAGAGAGGATGTGTTTCCAGGAAAACAGGCCAGGAAAAGCCTCAGTTGCTCCAGAAGCTCAAGGAGCAGCTCGTACTGCTGATGTGTGTTATCACAGCCTACAGCTCGGATGTTGGGTGGCAGAGGGACAGAGCCTGAGCTCCAGCCAACATAGCAAAAGCACTGCCTGTGGAGTACACTTAGAATGTATTTGGACACTGGATGTAACCTGGAGGATTTAATGGATAGTTGGAAGGCAAAGCTACTTAGACAATGTGAACAATTAACAGGAGAAAGAGAAAGAAAGATTTAAAAAAAAAAAAAAAAAAAAAAGGGGGAATAAAAAAATGGGGGCAGAAAAAAAAAAAAAAAAAAAACTGTTTTCTCTTTCTTCCATGTTTACGTGGAATCAAAGTGGGAAAAAAAAAGTCAAGTCTTGGAAGCAAGAGGAAGTAAAGGTTATGCAAGTAGAAAATGGATGTAGCTGGAGATAAAGAAATAAAGCAAGATTTAAGATGAGATGGAACATAACAGAAGGAGATTATTGCTGGGAGTTAAGTCAACCTGGAGATGGAGACACAGAGGGGGGGCTGTAGGGAAAAAAAGTCTCCTCTAGGGCAAGAAGCACACAGTGTAGAATTAAGGAGTTGGAAGTATTGACTTAAAGCTTTGTTGTCCTTTTTGTTGTAACTGCGTTTCTCTTTCTGCCTGCTCTAAATGTTTGTGGTTTACTGCTTGGCACCAGTAAAAGGCCAAAACTTGCAGTCTTAATTTCTTCGCTTCTCCTAATTATTTACTGCACAATGCATTGCACAGTTATAACTAAAAATAATTGCAATATTGAACAAAGAGTGATTTATGGTAACCACCTGAAAATGAACAAGAACACAGGTTCAGAAAATGAACTGAGGTTACAAGAGATGCAGGTTTTGCATTTAAGCATTTTGGCTTCTTCTCCATGAAGATTTTCTTTTGTGGAGCCCCAGTCTTTTGCAAGCAATATGACTAATTGACGAATAACTAGCTTTCTCTTGACACATGAAACTTTCCCTGGAGACGAGTACATTCCTGGGATTCTTCAACTCAGAAAAAAAGGTAGATTAGACAGAATTTATTTTAAATACCCTTTTCTGCAAGTTAGAAAATGTACGCCTGATTTTTGGTGTCACACAAAATGAGACCTGACCTGTTAATGACTTTATTTAATTCAGGTGAATCATTTCTACTCATTTACTTCTTCAGTGTCTTAATTTCTTTTGTGAATATTTCTATTCCTTTTTTTTTTTCTAAAAGACTCAGTTTTTAATTTCAGTTTTTCAAATGCCTCAGCAGTAACTTCTGTTATCCTCGACATTTCTGTGTCACCATAACGTGAACTACTGCAGTGGGAAACTTAATCCTCTAATCTGGCTAGCTCAGACACATTGTTCGTACTGGGACATTTTCCAATTCAGTGTACTTATTAACAGCTCTGAGCACTCTGTTCGCTTTGGCATCTGCAGTGGGAACACCCTTATGAATAGAAATTGCAGTCCAACAGTTTACGCCTATGACTTATTCTATTAGCTAAAATGACAGTGCTGGTTCATATGATTGTAGAACACAGAGCACTGTTTTTTGTTTCAAAAAGGCATGAGATACATATGCATGCGTGTATGTATGTGTGCGTATGTATGCTACACGTAAGCATTTGTCCTATGAGATTTGTCACTGCTATTGTTGGCGTATTTCAGTCCATACAGTGCTTTTTCTCTCACTGCAGAGATGTACACAATTGCTTGTAGGAGGCATTTTTAGGAATGACATCCATTACTGAAGAGCTTGCTAGTGGTCACTGTTGAAGGCAGGGAACTGATGCGGATAAATATGCATCGCAACCCCCCACAGCAGGGGACTGGAATTAGATTATCTTTAAGGTCTCTTCCAACTCAAGCCTATGGTTCTATGGCTATTGATATTCCACTTAGGTTTTTCTTTGAACACTAGAAGAGTAAGTACTCTCAGGGATGTAGATAAGTTTTAGTAAAGTCGAAACAAGCTGCTGCTTATGTATTTATAAAAACCCAGAATGGGGTGGAAGATCATCAGTGATATGATTTAATTTAGGAGGGCATGCAGTTGAACTAGAGGTTAACGGCAAATATCATCAAAATCTTTAAAAAGAAGATTGAATCACCAATATAAGGAATACGATTCTGTATTTCTGTGAAACTAAGATAGATTTTAATATGGATAGTGTATATTAAAAGAGTGACAGATTAAGACCTTTGTCTTTGAACCTGCAGGTGCAATAACTTCATTCCTTCTCCCCTCTCCCCCTTGAAAAAGCCAAAGAGAAAAAGGTCTCTGTGCATAGTTTTCCAGAATGAAACCAAGGATGAAAACATTGCTGAAGCTGTGAAACAAGAAGGAAGGCCCATGGAGCTAATGATATTTTCTATTACCAAATGCTCTGAGATCTGAAAATTAAAAACAAGAGCAAATACTATTTGTATTTATCGGTATGTGCTGTATTAAACACATGCTCAAAGGTTTTAATGTTTTTGAGAAATAGTAATAGCTGTGATTAATTGTAAAAAGGAACATAAGCCAATTAGGGAAAATATTAGTTTAGGACATGAAATTGTTTTAAAGAGTTGGAAATGAATTTTCTAAAAAGTAGGCACATTTATTAAGAAGGCTTCTGATGCTGTAACACCGAGCTTTTGGAGGAATAAGTAGTGCTTCGTTCTTTGTAGTGCTTGACATTCTGGATTTGTCCACTTGGGATTTAGCAGCGTGCAAAAAGCTGTTTTCAGTCGACACTGATGGCACCGCCGCTTCGCGATGCTACCATTGTAAAGAGAAAATGATTGCACTGAAAGGCTACTGAGTCACAGAAATGTCATCTGTGCACGTTGCAACATGACATGCTAAAAAGCTGCAGAAAGGCTCCAAAATAAAGGGAATCTTCACTAAGTGTTTCCATTATACTTTTATTTGGTACTCTTGTTTCTCAGGAAGTTAGACATCCATTTTGTGTTCAAGAATCTCCTGCAGATTGCCTGCAAATTATTCCCTGCTGCTGCCTTACCTCTTGAATCTCCCCTCCTCAGCTCAACATTTCCCTGCAGTTCTTCCTAATACATGCATCTTTGTTTCTTTCTGTACCTCTGTGTTATTCCTTCCATATGCTAAAGGCTGGACATGCTGACTTGCACATAAGTATTCGTTATCATCTCAGCCAGCTTCCTCACTTAAATAATTTCTGACAGCTCTAAGTCAGTGCTTGAAATTGAAGTCCTGTGACGTCGAAGAACTAGAAATACATGACTATCAATTTACTAACACTGCATCTTCAGTTTACTAATATTTCTAAGGGTCGTATTGTACAATATGACAAACCAAAAATTGCTGAGCATTTTTAGCTGAGTCTGTTGGTGTGTCTTTTAGCTACACAAAATAAGCCAACATGCAGCTGCAGTCTGAAATTCGCTGAGCCTAATTACTCTCAGCTGCCCATTGTATTTGTCTTTTCTGCTCTTACTGACCCCTTCTAAGGTGCTATCGAGCCCAGTGCAATAATCTGCTGCAAATAGCCTTTACTCACATGAAGAGTTGCTCCCAAGAATTATGGTTTGATGTACTGATAGCTCTCACAGGATCAGACCTAATAAGAGTTCACCTGATGCAATTTCTTATGTAAATGAGTTTTCCAGACCATTTCTCTCTTTTTGGTTTTACTGTTACCAACTCTTCTACCATACTTCACAGATATTCATCTTTCTTCCATTTCTGTCCTTTAAATGAAATGTTTGCTGAACCTAATTGATACTGAAATGTCTCTTCTTGCAGAGCAAAAAGAATTGTGCAAGGGTAATTTAGTGTATTGAGTTATTCACAGCCATTGTGTTTGCCTGCGCTCTACTGGCACTGTATTTTCTGAAGATATTGGAAATCGTTTTTGCTGATGGAACCGATGGGAAAAAATGAGTCAATCACATGAAACAGTGGATTTGGAAAGCTCAGTACAAGTTATTGAAGAAAGTTTTAAGTGTCTTAGTACATACAATATCAGCGCTTTTTTTCTTCCTCAAGGATACCTGAATGCAGATATTTAAAGACTACTGCACCTTCCTCATTACTAAGAACCCACAAAGAAGGAAGACAAATATCTGAAGAGAGAAGCAGTCAGAAATACTAAAGTAAGGAGAGTTGCAGCCAGGTCTGTGGATTTCAGTTAAGTTGGTGTAAGTTTTTGTTCCTACAAGATGACTACTTTGGGTCTCTTTATAATGGGTTATGACAAGCCAAAATTTTAAAGGAGGGGAAACTACAGTGTTAACACTTCCTTTTGCTTCCACCCTGGAAATCTGTATTTCTGCAATAGATTCCTCTTCTGTATGTATCAGAGCCTCTCATTTGCTTCAGCTTGCGTTTGCATGTGTGACCTCAGTCCGTGAGCAAATTGCCTTCTGCTCTTCAACAATTCCATTCATTTAGGCTATAAAATCTGAATAAAAGTCACGTACTCTTGTTATTGCTATAGCGTATCATAAATGGCCTTAAAAATATAGTAGCTGTTAATTTTACCTGTTAGTTGGTTGTGCCTTGGTCTTTGTTTTAGTAGCGATCTTATTAACATTGGATTACATTCCCCTTATCTTAGCCAGCATACGAAGAATGACCATTACATATAAGCTGTGGTTTTAGAGTGAGATTCTTTCCTATTGAAAGTATTTTTATTTTGGTGAAGGGACTATCTCTACGGGAGCAGATTGAGGAGGAAATTTAGACACGAGAGGAAACGCTTGTGTCCTTTTTCGCTATTGTCAATCTTCGTGGTTGTGATCCCTGTAGTACATTTATGTACAGGGTATTCCAGGGTGTAAAATCTTTGTTTCCTTCTGCTTACCATTCTTCTGCACAGCACTGGTAGCTTAGAAAAATAATAATCTAAACTGATGATAATCAAAGTACAGAATACAGGAAAAATAGTACACAGCCTTTCTGCCAGTTGTCCAGCAAATGAGATCCTGTACTCTTGAGTCTTCTTCAGGTAAAGGCTGTGAGCTCAGCAAGTGGCACAATATGAGTCTGTTCTTGTGTTAATTACAGTAGTGAAAATGGAAAACAGAGTGGCTGCTGCCCATGAGTACCCTTGAAATGGTCAAGAACTGCAAATGTATTTGCCTTTCTGCTCAGCACAACTGGTTTAAGTACGTGCACCATCTCTGAAAACTGCTCTGCAGAGCTTAGTAATTTTCTTCCCACTGTGAGGGGATGTTGTACAGGGCTGTTTATAATAAACTTTAATGGAATAGAAAGCTGAAGTAGACAGACATCCTGCATCCGACGTGGCTTTATGATGAAAGAGCACAGCATGCCTTGCTCTTGAGATACCTGATGTAGACTCCTATGTTCTGGGAAGAATGTAACAAGGCTGAGCCACAGAGAATACCACAGATCTCCACTTAGACATAAAAGGAAGACCACGATAAAAAGCATCTGTTGGTCACTGTTCTGACTCCTGATCAACTGCAATTCCTTTATGATAGCAGACTGTGTATGAATAACTGAAATTAACTTGCCATTCAACCATTTCTCACAGGTTGTGTTTAAAAATGGCACCAGTATCAACTGAGATGTGAAGTACAGTCTGCAAGTCTGTAATCTGTGCTGTGTGGCCATGTAGCTGCTTGGAATTCCTTTTTCTTGTCCTTTTGCTTAACAAAGACTGCAACCGCAACATTAGAAGCTTATCAAGCTTGTAAGCAATCCAGTTACTATATGTGATCCAATCTTTTTCTAGTCAACTGAAAATGGGTGTATTGGTTATAAGGATCTTTAATGCTGTCTGAGTGATTTTCCTGATTCAGATGCTGAAATTGAGCCGTAGTAAGCAGTAGTCAGCTGAATTAGCATTGTGCTGCTTGTGCCTGGAAGCTGATTGTATTGAAGGAACGGTTTCCCAAAGCTCACTGAGAAAGCAATACTGACAATGTTTCTGGCTTTACCTATCCCCGTGCTTTTTATAGATTCTCTTCAGAAAAACCTCCAGCACAGATTCAAACCCCACATTCATGTTCAATTTAAGTACATGGGCATTTCTGAAGTCTTAGCCTCTTAAATTCTAAATTCATAGATCCATTAAAGACAATTTTAGAATTACCCTCGCTGCTACCACAGTTCTCTCATCTTTCAAAGCTTGGCAAGCTTTGTCCTCAGCTTGATTCTTTTTTTCAAAGCTTTTTCTGTCTGTTGTACACGATGAAAAGCTGCAAAGAGAAAGCGTGTGTGGAGAGAGGGCACAATAGATAAAGCATAGTTACACAGCAGTTGAATTTGAAAGACATGCTCTGTCCTTTAATGTCTACTTTCAGCACTTTAAAACACTATCCTCCACAATAATCTCTTAAGTGCTTTATCTGATGCTGGTGCCCAGTGCTGATTGGTACAAACAGTGCTAACAACTTGGCTAAACCCATGGTTGGCAAGTTCTGTATTGTTTATGGTGTCTCTGCCACAGAAATGCTTATTCTAACAAGAAATATTGAGCTGCTCCAAAAAGTTGCTATTTTTAAATTAAAAAAGAATAATCTTGAATTAAACCTAAGTGGCATGTGGAGTTTTTGCTGAGCGTAACTCCTGCGTATGTGTATTGAGCCCTGGAGCGCTGCGTAAATGCAATTAGAAAATTGTATTACAGCATTTTGGTTATGAGGAATTGATTTTTAAGCAACTGACTTCTGATCAGAGAGCAAAAGTTCTTGTGAGGACTCGATTTTTGGCAAGCAGATTTTAAAAGAGAGAAGTTTTTTCTTCTGTAGTATGTGCTGTTGTGCTGTTTCAAATAAAGGTCACTGTGAAAGGGAGGCCCTCAGTTGAAGTGGCTATAAAAAGTTAAACTTCTTTTAAACTGGAATTCGGATAAATGAGATGTGCTTTCAACTGCCAGCGAATTTTGCAGTAATCAATAGTTGGTGCTGAATTCCCATTTATGATAAAGTTTTAGGCCAAGTTTTCTGTCTCTATGAGGGAATGAAGACTCCATGTTATCTTTGGCTCATCAAGGACAAAAAAAATGTAATGAAATGCTTTAAAGCAGACATTCTATTACAATAGCAAGAGTTCAGTGAAGTTAAAAAGTAAAAAATAAAAAAAAAGTTCCCGAGAGCCTTTCCAGTTCTTTATTCTTAATGATATTATGTCAATGGTACTTGCTGCTGTTAGGAATAATTTATGAAAGCCTTATTTTATCAGAAGTTCTGCTCTAGATAGAGAAACAGGAGATATATGGAATAGAAGAAGGTTTTTGTTGTGCAGGCAGTTTTCAGTGCAGTTGATTTCGATGCATGATTCCATGGTAAACAGAGGTGAATTCAACTTTGAGAAATTAGTTCTAGATGCAGATTGGAACAAATCCACTGTTGAGCTGCCTGGTCTGGTGGTTGGTGACCCTGCACATGGCAGGGGGGCTGCAACTAGATGATCATTATGTTCCTTTTCAACCCAGGCCATTCTGTGATTAGCAGAACTTGTGGTTGGGCTTTGTACAACCGGTAGTGACTTCACTTCACTTGAGACATAATCTCTTCCCAGTGCGACTGTGGATGCCCCATCCCTGGAGGTGCTCAAGGCCGCGTTGGTTGGGCAGCCTGATCTGGTGCCTGATTTAGCGACTGGCTGCCCTACTTGTGGTACCGGGGTTGGAACTAGGTGACCTTTAGGTCCCTTCTGACCCAAGCCATTCTCTGATTGAATCTCATTGGAGAAGTGGGATTTTTGTTCTTTTTTCAGTTGCCTGTATTTCAGATCTGAGCATCTTAAAATCACTTTTATTTCTTAGAAATTGTCCTAACTCAATTAATTATAATCACTCTGAAATGGGAGTACATGAAAGTGAACAGGCAGATGAAAAAGCTCAGTTGCACAGGTTGTATTTTTGGAGTGCTTCACCTTTTCTTAACATAGCATGCTTTCCTTTCTTTCCTCTGTAGGTGATGAGTGCCTGTTTTGGTTTAGCCTCCAATGCACCTTTTTTGGGCACGATGTTCCAGAGAAGTCCTTGTGCTGTGGATATGTGAGATGAAAGCTAGGACTTATCAAATGAGGTAAGGAAAACACCCTACAGCGTATTTAGTACGGAAATACGTTTAAGGATAAAAGTTACTCAGCCAGTAACAACTACACAGCATACAATGGAAGATGGTGGATGTGTCTACAAAAGAAATTAATTCATTTTATGAAGTGGACTGAGTTAAGAGACATAAAAAGAATTGCATTATACTATTACTGTGAATATCAAACAGCCGTTTCAGGTAGTTTGCATTTGTAATTCTCCTTACAATATTAGATGTAGGAAATGTTCCTATTGCTCATTTACACTTAACTTGGCAAATTAATTCAGGCAAAATGTGGATGCCCTATTCAGTTCTAAAGTTAACTTTTCACAGCATATTGTGTTGCTAGTGAATCCAGACAACTTGGTTTAATGCATAAATCATAGCCGTACTGCTATGAATAAATACATCATTCAGAAGTATACTATAATAACTAGGGTATAGTACAGTACATTTTGCCTGACTATACCTATATGCATGTGATTAAGATATATTTATCTATCTCACAATGTGTGTCTATACACACGCACACACACAGTTCAGATTAACAGCAAAGAAAGCAACGTGGCAAAGCATGCAAGATCCTCAACCCTCGTCCAATGTCAGAACAGGAAGCAACAGGTACAAACTGGAGCACTGTAAAATAAGGGATCCTGATTCTTCTGCTGTCAGATGTTTTGTATGTGAAGGTCCCTGGGATTTCAGTGGGCTGTGCTCTGTTCTTTCCAGTTGTCCTAAAAGTCATGGGGTAGGCATTAGTTATTATCTCCAGGTATGAAACAGTGAACTTATTTCAGCAAGCTGAAACATGGACTCCTTTGTTCCCTAGAGTTAGGCACACTGAGCCACACGCTTCTTCTGTGCAGGAGGAATCTGAGGGACAGTTTGTGGGGGAGTGGATATTGTGTGGTCTCTCTTTTATTTTGCTGTCTGCTTACCATACACCTATCAAATGTAGAGAAATAAGAGAATTCCTCATGCACCTTCCTGAATGATCACAAAGCAGCGGTTTATCTGCTAGAGGAAGTGCTTCTCATATCAAATAAGGATGTGTGATCATCCCATCAAAAATAAGAGAATATTATTGACGTGTATGAAAAAGATTGATGCAGTGGAGTACAGTATCCTGCCAGCTGTGGTTTAGAAATCTCTCATCTTTATTAGCATTGTGAAGCAGGAAAAGCCATAATCAGTGCAGGGCACGGAAGTGATGGAGAAGGAAGTAGTTTGAAGTGTTCTTTCATTTCCCTTCACATGAAGGCCCTGAAGGATCAGTTCAGTTCTTCATTCAAAAAAGAGCTGTAATCTGACAGGCTGTATCCAGAAAGTAGATGTTTAAACAAACAAACAAACGAACAAACAAAAAGCTGTGAGAATACAGCTTCTTTTTTTTATGATTTGACCTTTAACATGTAAGAATTTACTAACACAGGGAGGTTTCTCCCTTGTCTTGTAGTAAGCAAGTTCCACGGGCACAGCTGAACTCTGTTCCTGCACCTGCAAATATGGGTGTGCAGAACTAACAGTTCCTGCACATTTTGTTCACTGCACTTCGAACGCACTTCTTCCCATCTTCTATTTCTGAGAGAGTTTTAGTAAATCTGAGCATTAACTGTGCTCCATGGTCAAGTGACAGTAGCCTTCTGGGATGGCAGATAGTGTGAAACACTGATACAGAAACTCTTATCCACACAAAAGTCATACCACCACCCCTGAAATTATCTGCTATGCATTTTCAAGTACGCTGAACAAATATTCCAAAGGGAAAGGGCATATGTTATTGCAGTCCTGGGACAATAAGCAGAGTTATAAGATAAAATCTATCTGGTATTTATTCAGCTTTTCTGAATGAAGGGTATCATCACTCTGCAGCACTGCATAATGCAGAGCCCTAATATCCCATATAGTCTCTGTCAAAATAAACCTCTGTGTGTAACTGTGGGCTCCAGATAAGGTCAAAATATAATGTCACAAGTCAACCCTGCTTCTGAAAATGCGCACCAAAAATAAGCATTGGAATTCCTAAACACAGCGTTGTGAGACAACTTCTTGAGTTTTCCGTTCTGTTGCTCTCAAAAGCTTAAAGATGCTGTGTTTTTCCTCCAGTTCTGTAGCTTCTATCACCCTGACAGCCACTGAGATGTGTTTGAGTGCCTGGTAAATGCAGGTCAGCTGTGCTCATCAGGCTTGGGCAGGGCTGTCTCTGTGAAATAGCACTTACAAACAGGGCCACTGAAGTTCCCAGTCCTGCAGGGCTCGTATGTGTGAGCTGCTTATGGAGTATGGGCCTCGCTGCTCCAGGAATTATTGGTCCTTTTCTTGGAGTGAAGTGCCCACAGTTGGCAGAGAGGGCAATACAGTTTTGTACAAAATCCCAGGGCAAGTAGGACAAAGGAGGAAAAAGGGAAATTTGTAAGGTGATCTTGCAAATGGACTTATTTGACTTATGCAATTGCTATAAATTTTTAAAGCACGTAAATGGTTAGTCCCAAAGTAATATCCAGTTGCAGGTCACTGCAGTAGCTGGGTTTATAAGAAGTTGTAAAGCTATGCATTTCAAACTTGCTTAGCAGAACCTCTGTGCAAAGATCCCAATAAGCAAGTGGTAAGATCACAAGGAAAACAACGTAGATGACTTCTCTCTCCTAATAAAATGAGCATCATATTAATGCTTAGAACTCTCAAAACTTGGTTGATTTTACTGTTGTAACAGAACACTATACTACAAATTTGGAGAAATTCTCAATATTTTTTTAGTGTAATCCATGACATTTACTACAGGTCAAATGGCTAAGATGTATGTGAGAAGGTATTTATTTTATCAATATTTAGAAAGAGACCAGCATTCACTGAAATACTGAAGCAGAATGCAAGAGCTCATTAGACATGTCAGGGTAAGGGAAAACAGAGAGAGGTAATGCTGCTGCCTTTACGCACAGCAATACTGTAACGCAGAAATTAAGTGTATGCACCACTTGCTTTCAAGTTTGGTGTCATACTAAGTAAAAAAAACCCCATAGGATATTTTATGAACTTGGAATGGATCTGTAAGGATCATCAAGAACAGAGGATGTTTATATCGAGCGAAATGTTTCTACTAGTGTATCACTAGTATAATCAGGTGTCTTTTGTTATAGCATCAAGTATTTCTTAATTCCGCTAAAATCTGAACTTCTGGTATAAATTGATTAGGTGAAAAAGTTAACTGGTGATTCCAATGGATTTCTTGTGGAGGAGGGCATGCAGTCAAATGAATAATGGAGGGGAATTTTTAAAAATTGCGAACTGACCTTTGAAATGTCAGAATTTGGATGTTTCCTGTAATCAACGTTCTGTGATAAATGAGAGCAGTAAATGTAAAGATCCTCAGTTCAAAAGTGTGTGCAATCGAAACCCAATGAGAGATCAATGCCCTTTTGGTGACCTTTTCTGAAAAGGCCAAATGACAACATTTATGGGAAGCTTTACTTGTGCTCAGAGGATGATAACAAATGGATTTACTGCATGTTGGTGTCCCAGCTGTAGAGAAAATCTACATCTGTATGTGTGAGTTTATAGAAGTACATGTGTATAACATTCACATAATTGTCTGCTTTTTTCATGGAAATTCAAGCGAAGATCTGAGAGCCCAGCAACGTTCTTTCTTTTGCATCATTGATCACTAATGATTTCACACAGGTAATATAATGACTGCGTTCACACAGAACAGGTTTGATGACTAGAAAGACAAAACAGCTGCTCTCACGCTTTGCTGTTCTGATTCTGTACTTGCAGGAGGAAAAAAATAAAAAAGGATGAAAGTGCAAGACTTGACTACATAAAATAGCAGATATGACTGGATGTAGAAACAGATCTGTAGAGAGGTAAACAGTTTCTACTATAGTATCCTGAAGTGTTGAACTGCATTTTAAGTTGCATGAACGACTGCCTTCATAGGAGAAAACAGCAATGTGTCTAAGGTGAAAGGCAAGCAAAGTATCTAAGTTCAGGCAGCAAACGCAAATGTCAAACTGTTGTCTTTCAAAATAGCTGGGAAAGAATTACCTCCTTTCAAAATGTTTTAGTCTCAACTGTAAAATGAGCTTTCAGTATATGACTCCTCTAGTAATAGCAGAGATGAGAATAGCAAATTAGAGCAATAGAAGTGAATGACTGCAACAATTTACTTGCTTATTTTTGCTCTTTGTGTAAACTTTCAGCTCTGCTTACAATGCACCTTAGCTATAACAGAGACCTGGCATTTTAATTCACTGCTCATACGAAATGCTTATAAACGTTTGCTTGCCAAAAATAACAAACGCCAGAGCTTTGTGTGTTCGCTCCAACATATTCTTTAACCACAAAGGTATGAATGTATTAAGATATTTAATCTATCAGTGCTAGGTCTTTTAATATGAACACAGAATTTAATAATAATAGCAGTTATTATAATAGCAGAGGATGGCATACTGCTTGGGCATTAAACCCTTGGTCTTGCTTGTCAAGTAAGCAGAAAATATTCAGAAGAATTGCTTTGTTCATGTGAGCTAACGTTTTACCCGCCGTTTTACACTTCACAGTTCTTAGCTTGCTTCTAAATATCAAAGATCCAATCAGACACTTGGAGATGCAATTGCTGAACTTTGCTTTTATAATGTAGTCTGCAGATGTGCGTTATATTTCTAGATAGCGAGGTCAGACCTTTGCTGTAAAAAAAGACTGCTGATAAAATATTTGTCCTTCTAACATATAAGAAAATTTTCAGCTCTCAGTGGAGCAGATTAATTCCAAGACTTCTGTTTGGTGCTTCTTTCATTCATTCAGTCAGAATGTTGTTTACCTGAGGAGATGCACTGTCAGGGATGTATTTTTGAGTGAAGTGGAAAAAGGCATTCTGAGACACCTTGAAGCACTAAGGCTTTGAAACCTACCTGAAGGACCTCGGGAAGGTGCCTCCATTGATACATGAGAAAACCTGATCTAACTTAGTTACGTTTTTTATCACTGGTCTT